AGGAGCACACAAATAAGAAGCACAGTAATATTTTTTTCAAATATAAATTACATCCTTTTTGTATCATTTAAGACAACTTCGTAAAAAACTCATCTAGATCTAAAGAGGGCTGCACTGCAATGTTGTACCTGTCTTGACATTGCTTATGGATCCTATATTTAATCAATGCAACACATAAACTTCTTTTTTTTTTTTTTTTGTTAAATGGAAAAAATCAAGGAAAAGGCCTCACTAGAAATATCCTGCTCCAGGGCTATCATGCAATCATGATAGTATGGAAGAGGTTTCCCTGTCACTTTTGCGGAGGGAATTTGCAAATGCTACTATTTTTCACAGCCTGACAGAGGAAGGCAAAAGAGGCTAAACCACCTTAGGTTAAAGACGATTGGGGAGGAGAAAAAAATTATTCCTTGTAACAATGGAGCAGCAACCTGACTGGACCAAGGGATCTAAGTTTGACTACTGCACATCAAAGTTTCCCTGAAGAAAAAAAGTTAAAAAAACAAATCAGACCGTCATGGCAATTTTAACCATCCAATGTACTAACAGTATTAAAAAGGACCATACAAAACTCTAGGTGATAGTCAGAATGACAACACATAGAAAACAACACTTTTTGTGGGTGACTTACAGATGGGAGGACAATCATGATGTCCATATGTATGAAAAAAAGAGGAAAAAAGAAAAAAGAGAAAAAAAAAAAAAGGAGAAAAAGGCAGCAAAAAATACAATTAAAAAAAAAAATCAAGAGCTGGATTTCACATTTTGACTTCCAGTTAATGTTTAACAGCCTTCAGAGTACCAGACTTAGATATTAATTTTGACAGAGGGCTATTTGAATATCTCATAGAATCACAGAATGTTTAGGGTTGGAAGGGACCTCTAGAGGTCATCTAGTCCAACCCCCCTGCACACGCAGGGTCACCTAGAGCACGTGGCACAGGACTGCGTCCAAGCGGGTTTGGAAGATCTCCAGAGAAGGAGACTCCACAACCTCTCTGGGCAGCCTGTTCCAGTGCTCACTCTCACTGTCAAGAAATTTTCCCTTAAGTTCCTGTGGAACTTTTGATGCTTTATTTTCTGGCCGTTTCCCCCTAATTCTGTCGGTGACCACCAGTGAAGAGAGGCCAACACCATCCTCCTCACTGCCTCCCTTGAGGTACTTGTCAGATCCCCTCTCAGCCTTCTCTCCTCCAGGAGTTAAATGTCATTCTCAGAAAATTTCTCAGAATCCTTCCAACACATAAATACTACTGGACAGTAAGAACGATGAAACCTATACTATATTTTGTGGATAAAAAAAAAAAAAAAACACATAGAAAAGAGGATGGAAACTAACAGTGTTCTTTTCATTTACACAAGAAAATGGGATGGGTTGGGTCTTTTCTCTGCTTCACTGGGGCATGAATTAACAGTACAGTACCTGTACATAGTAGATAGATAAGGAAGACAGAATCCCTTTCAGCATTCAGATTGGGGAATAGGGGTTGTATTTTCAGTCAAAAAATTAAAAAAAAATAAAAATAAAAATAAAACAGTCCAAACAGCAACTCGAAGGGCTATCCCCCAAGACCTACGGCCCGAGGCAAACAGGCCTGGCTTCAGCTAGCAATTTTCTTTTGCACAGTATATGACAATCTCTTTGTAGCTAAAGTTGTCTCCATGCTCAGTTGCTAGGCCATTGTATTACTGCTTCCTTATTCACATTCCCTCGTTGTTAGAGGTGAAAGTTGCCCTGAATACTGTTTTTAGTGAGAAGTAGTCATTGACATTTTGTTTCCTTGGAGAAATCTTTTTCCAAAAGGATTTTCACTCATATAAAAGTTTTCCCTCACAAACTGGAGCTTATTATTTAGGACAAATTTCATTTTTTTTTTTTTAAATCTTAAGTTTAGACTTTATTTCCTTAAACAAATGTTTAGGAAAACATGTTGCATGTTTATCATGGAAGATGTGTTTAGAAAAGTTGCATTTCTTTCCCTCAAGGAGATTTAATTCACACACAACAACAACAAAAGATTTATTTAAAAATGTTACTGACCTCACTTGAGCCCCTTTCTTCATCTGTTGCTTCACTAAAAGAAGAAAAATAACCGTAACTGCTTTGAAATACTAGAAAAAGATTAGAATAGTATTTAAAAAACACATCCAAAAAACACTTTAAATTTTTTTTAATTACCCACTTGAAATTTCAGTCAACACGCTCATTTATACCATGCTCACCTTCATCCTAACAGCATTAGTTAGTAATATTTTCTATCATTTCTAGCTAGAAGCAATTTAAAAATCACAGGATAAAACAGTAGGAAAACTCTATGCTGACATACAGTAGGTAAGTTCTATTACTAAGCCTATCTTGAGCTATCCAGACTTTTGTCTGGATAGCTGTTTCTGATAGCAATTTTTAAGTTTAAAACAGATATATTGGCTCAAGAAGTAAGACTGAGCATGTAGATCTAAAATTATGAGGTAGTCATGAAAATCAATCTGATAAAAAGGTAGATAAGCAAGAGCAATGATACTGTATGTGTGCAGTAATTCATAAGAGGAAGTACCAAATAAGTAAACAACAACAGGGTAATTTCATTGGACAAAACACACAGTACATGAGCATAAAACCATGATTTCTGACTACAGTTTGCATTAAACTGGAGTAACACAAATAAACCCCCAACTAAACTTTACTCTCTCTGCTAAAGCAGATGTCTTTAATCCCGTATGCCAGCAATTTCTAGCATTTCATTACAAACATTCTGCATTTAAGGAAGTCTTCTTTATCTACATGCACTGTGCTGGTAGCTAGGCTTACCATCAACATTTTCATTTGCTATAAAAAGGAATCTATTTAAAGGTAATACTCTAATGCTAAGCTATCTAACATTAACTGTCACTGAAAAAAAAAATAGAGAAAAAGTAACACTGAAGGAGTCCCAAAAGCTAAGGTTTTTAGATACAGTCCAACCCATTAATAAATAGCTAAGAAACAAACAATAAGTTTGCTGGAATCAATAACAGCATTAATTTATTTTCAAAAAAATAAATCCAGAATACAGTATATGGAAACAATTGTTTCTTAGAAGAAGATTATAATAAAATAATTATTTAAATATTGAAAATACATGTTTTGGCAGTAACAGGTTTATAATTCTGATGTCAAATGACAATATAGTAAAATGTAAAATAAACAGATGCTTGGAAATAACAATCTAATTGGAATTTGTAACATGGCTTCTGTAACTTTCAAGAATTTTTTGAAGGGGCTGAATGTGAGTGATCAACTTGATATGTTGCATTTGGACCTGCACAGAAGACCTAATCAAAATTTTCAAGGAAACAAAGCATTCCTTGTAGGGTAAGTATGATTAAGATTTTTCTTTTTTTTAAAAAAAAAGAAGAAAAGAAAAGATTGGGGCAAAGAGTGAGTTCTTGCAATGGAGGGAGGTCACTAGTGATGCTCCGTAGCAATTTGTGCTGTGCCCTGTTTAAACTCATGAACAAAGTGAGTAAGCAGCCAGGTTGTCGAGTTTCTTGATCAGCAGTTTCTTGAAGTTACTTAGGAACAAGAGAAGACTGAACAATTACAGAAACAGTCTAACTGATGAGTCAGCAAAATGGGAGGTGAAGTTTAAGACAGATAAAAGTTAAATTATGCCCATGTGGAAACAGGATCCCACATGCAGAACAAAGGGCACTGAACTGACCATCACCAATCATGAATAATTTTTTTGGAATTATTATACTTTCTACACAACTCTTTCAATTTAATACTCAACAGTGATTAAAAAAGCAAATTTGAAGTTAAGATTTATTAAGGATTGAGGAAAAAAAACAAAACAGACTTTACATCCTTACATCCTCACCCGCCCCTTTAATATATTGTGCAGATCTCAGTGAGATATTTCAGAATAGAAAAAGTTCACAGAAGAGCAATGATATAACCAAAGGTTCAAAACAACTTCTCCATAAGGAAAAGCTGAGTGGGCTTTAGCAGTTCAGGCTGGAAAACAATAGCTTAGAAACGGATAGAGGCAGACACAGATGGATAGGGACTGACTGCTCAGAAGAAGAGCAGAAGAATTGGAAGTTACCAGGGTCTAGTAACAGCCAGGTTTAGAACAGAGAGAGGTAGTTCTGCCTCCAGTACACAGTAAAACCATAAAACTTCTTATGAAAGGATGAGGTAAATGCAGAAAACAAAACAAAACAAATAATTAAAAAAAAAAACACTACACTGATTCAAGAGAGGTCTGAGTAAGTACTTTGAAGAGAGATCTATTAAGGATTATTAAAAAGATGAAGCATATGTATCAAACTGGCAGCTCCCTTAAACAAAAGTTAAGGGAGGAGGCCTAGAGAAAGGGGGAGGCTGGGAGACTAGTCAGAGAAACATTGTGTTTTCCTTGCTCTTTTTACTCAGTGGATATCCACTAACAGCCACGATCTGTCACAGCATAAGAGTTACAAGGCTTTAAAAGAACATTCGGTCTGACCTAGCACAATCATTCTTACTTTCTTGGAGAGTGACTGACAAACATGAGTACATACGATGTTAATCAGGTCCAACACTCTGAAAGTAAATGTTTTGGAAACTGGAAATTAACCTTTTGACAGCAGGAACTGAGCTTAGGTGGGGATCATCCTTCAGTAGGTCATGACTACTTTTACTTTTTCCCTTCATGCTCTGTTTAAAAAAAAAAAAAAACAGAAAAAAAAAGAAAAAAAATTGTTATAAACATTAATGTTTTAGAGAATGGATGATGATCAGAAGTAATGGTAAGTTAGGATCATTTAATTCTTGTTCTTTTTAGCCTAAGCAGTGAGTATGAACACTTCCAATAGCAGAAGACAAAGCTTTTTCTTTTTTTTTTTTTTTTTCCCCTCATGTCACTAGTTCCAGAAGGCGAATCATCAAGCTGACTCCATGGATTTACTTCTCTTTCAGCAATAAGAAAGCAGTTAATTCAAAGAGTGGGTGGATATGTGTGTGACTGTCCTATTATTATAGTTATTACAAATCATAAAGATGCTAAGTCTAGTATGTATCTAGCTGAGCAAATGAAGAGATAAGACCTGACTTTCCAGTGATGTACACAGCAACTCAGAACTAATACATACAAAAGTAGTACTTATCACCACATCAGATATAGTGTAGACCCATCAAAGAATAAAAAAAAGAGAAAAAAGAAAGAAATGAATAACCTGCAATACATTATGCAGGCATCATCTACAAAGGCAAGAAATCAAATAAATTGAGTAACATATCAGCTCAACAGGTACAAAAACACTAATAAGAAAACTTCTCCTGTGCTAATCTAAGAAGTACACTAAAACATTAAAACACTCTGTGGAGACTCAAAGCTCTCCATTTCTGCTGCAGCTTAGTAATAATTCTGCAGATAATAAAATCATAGTCTGACTTAAAAACACTTTCAATTTATTACGTAGGGGAAAAAAAAAGGTTAACACATTCAGCAATGTGAAAAATATTTGCTTCAACAAGTAATTTTTTGTGTGCACGTTAAAATAGTAGACAGAACATCTGACAGTTGTTCAGTGTTTTTGTGGACTGCTCCACACCACTATGGACATTTACAAGAGCAGTTTGGGCATGAAAGGCTTCAGTTTAATGACGAAGCCCTAACAAGCAGGTGCCACAAGTCTCTCAGTTTTAGTAGGTGTTAATGACCCTGAGGAGCTTCACCTGGGGTCTCTCCACCCCATAGCCCTGTGGCCATGAGCTTCAGCTCAGCTCAGCCCTGCAAACTCAATCTTTACCCAAGTAGTTGGAAGTGAACCTCTCTGTATGGAAGCACCTTGTCTCTGTGTTCTGTCTCTGGCCCAATATCCTGACTGGGCTGTATGCATGGATCCTGGGCTTGGTTCATTGCTTGTCTTGTCTATGACTCTAGGAGCCCTATTACTGGCATCTGGATCCACCTGCCACATGCAGATCCTGCAGGATGGCACTCCATGAATGAGGGCACTACTTGTGCTGGTATCACCCTCAGATTATTTTCCTGAGGTTGCAGCCAGCCCTTGCTGCTTCCTGACAATTAGCTCACATCTGTCTGAGCTCCAAGCTAACCTGTAGACCCTGACCCGGTGGCTCCTCAAGTGACCAGCCCCCAGGGCTCTGATCTCCCCCAGCACTGAGCTCCTGCCCAGCCCCAGACTCCTTAGGAAAACCCTGCCCCACCCAACCTCCAGGGCTCCTCACTGGCAACCTCTTTCCCAAACCCACTACTTCCTCCCAAATCCCACCCTGCTTCCAGGACTCCTCAGCAGCATTTCCAGAGCAAAGCAGCGTCCAGAACTATAGAAATACAGACAACCTGTCACACACAAGCAATTATGTTAAGATTTCTTTTTCTTTTTTTTTTTTCTCTCTTACAAAATGAAAAAAAAAAAAAAGAAGATGGAATTCTTATAAGAAATTGATACAGTTATTTTCCCATCTAGTCTCAAATAGTCAAGAAACTAATCAGGACAAACGTGAGAATAAGATTTTAAGATCAAGTTGGAAGGCAGTATGACAGTTGAAACAGGGTTGGTGGTGAGGTGGAATCAAGAGTATGTGCTTAAAAATACGTTTTGCTTAGGCCATTTGAAAATGAAAAGCAAATATTTGGCATGAAAGGGAATAACCAAGCACAGAATGAGATGCAATATTAAAATACAAACACATGTATGTCAAGAAAAGGAGAGAAATGCCAAAGCAAGAAACATTACTTAAAACTACTGTTGTGATAAACCCCTGCTATCTCCCTGTACCATTGTACATCACGTTCACTGCTGTCTTTTCTGTTTTACCAGAAATCCTCAGGGCTGAGGGTCACCTGTTTATTTATGTTGGTGCAGGATCAAGCATAGTGCAGTCTGACCGTTAACGAAGCAGCTAGGTAGCTAAACCACCTCATTCACTAACTAAAACGCATACAGCCTTCGATAAATCACTTGCACAGCAGCTATAAGGAAGATGATAACTTGCCAAAGAAGTTTGAAGACACCAACCCTAGTTACATTTAACTGGACAATTCCTAAGAGTATAACATTTCATTATAGGCAAATGCACTCTTTGCCCACATTATCACTGCCTCATTCTGGACACAAGATGAGTTTATAAGAAAATGCTGTTAAGACTGTGCTGGCAATGAACAAATCGATATATGTCCACTTTCAAGTAACTGTTACATCACACTCTTGTAGGTAAGGAAGTAAAAGAAGGAAGAAAAACAAACAAACAAAAAACAAAACCAAAACCAGACATACCACCCTTATGAATTCTAAACAGCAGAAATAGCTTGAAATTACATGTGAAATATTATGCCAAGACTAACAACTCCAAAGCTTTTCACAAACATGCTAAAAAAAAAAAAAGAAAGATTTTAAATTGAAAGAAAAAGAAAGGAAGTACATTACCTGACTAACTCTGTTGACTTCTTCTTCTTCTTCTTCAGCTTCCTCCCCAAAGGAAAGCAGGTTAAAATTTCTTTAAGAGAAAAAACAAATATTTTTAGTAATTCTTTAAACACAATTTTATCATCCAATGAACTTTAAACATGTTACTTTTACATTTTTCTTTTTTTTTTTTTTTAATTCTGCTAAATGTACCCACTTCAAATTATGATAAGTTATTTGCAAAAAAAAAAAAAGAAATCATGACCTAAACAATATTCAGATGTTTCTATCCTCTTCTGGAGGTAGATACAATGAGTATAGCTAAGCATAACTTGTAAAGTTATAAGAGGGAACTTAACAAAACTGCTCTTAACAAACTTTCACAGACTCAAGTGCCTGACAACTCTGTAGAACTTTTTTTTTTTGAAGTTCTTAAAAAAAAAAAAAAAAAAAAAAGAATATACATATGCTACAGAACAGACAGCATCAATACAGTTTACATTTCCTACTACTGTTCATTACACACTTGTCAATACTGAATTTCATTCACAGGAACTCAAATTTCCCAAGTCAAAAATGCCTGCCTTTTGCTGGGTATTGTAGTGGAAGAGAAGAAGCATCTGATAAAAATAAATTCAAAAATCTCAAAGTTCTGATCTATGATCAAGTTACCAGTATCCAGTAAGTTCTGTATCACCTCTGTCACAAAAGAATAATTACATATTCTTGCTCACGGGCAAACAGCTTAAGCTGCCTTTGCAGTAAACTGTACCTAATAGTTATCATGGGTCAGCTCATGTGCAGTAACCATTTCAGTTACTGTAACTTTTTTTTTTTTTAATCTCTGAAGACACAGACATGGAAGCTGTTTTGCTAATATTAGAGAGTATTCTCACGCACATCTAGTTAAAGCCTTATGTTTCAAAAGCAGAAACAGAAAATAAGCAAGCTGAAAATAAAGTTGAAAGAAAATAAACTACTGCTTATATTTACTTTGTGGCTTTTGATTTGGACTTTTTAACTTCTTCTTCTGGTTTGTCCTTCTTCAGCCTTCTATTTGCTCTTGGAACAATGTCATCAAATGGATTAAACAAAACCTATTAAAAATAACATTTTAGACACATCTTTAATGGGAATTCTGTTGTAATTAAATGACTGAGTATCTTAAATAAGTATATGCAAGGATATTGATAGTTATAGATATATGTGTGCTGAGTTTTCACATTAGAATACAGCTGTATGAAAACTATGAACAAACAAAAAAACCTTAAAACTGCATATATCAAAACAAAACACACCTACCTCACTGCTTCTTATTTTGTGTGGACTAAGTGGTCTCTCTTCCTTGTCAACTTCTACTTCAGCCAGTCGCAACATGTTATAGATAGTATCCCCTGTAACCTGATGTAGAAAACACCATAATCACGTAAGGTTTTAAAAAGTCAACAGGTACAAAGAACAATTTCATTTTCAATTTAACAGTGGATTTGAACAAGTTAGCACAGGTAGTTAAAACTTCACTTCTGAGAGCCTGAGAAGCAGGAAGCTGCTTAAGTGGAAAATAAAAATACTGTGGAATGTAGAAATAATTCCTTTCTTTCTTTCAAAAAAGACAGGATAGTGGCAAATCCATCCTGTAGTTTTCATTTTCCTGATTCTTCTTGTGTAATTTATAAATGGAATTTTATAAATATGCTAGCACCATTAAACTGATTTATCAGACACAGTCATAAAATTTACATTAAAGGAAGCACAACCCTAAAATATAATTTTAAATATAATTTAATATAATTCTAGAAAATCAATGGCAAACCAACAGCAATGCAGATAATTATAAAAACTACCAACAGAAACATTCTCATCAGGAATGAGAAACAAAGAGAATGGGGACAGCCTCTGAAGTAGCGAAATAAATTTCAAATATACACAACAGAAAAATAACACTGAAACAGCCTTTGAATAAAGAGATACATATAAATGCTTCTGTCAAACTTAGTTTGAGGTTCTAGCCCAGTAGCAAACCTTTCCGAAGATTGTGTGCTTGTTGTTAAGTTCATCTGCACGACCCAACGTAAAGAAAAACTGACTGCCATTATCATGGGGTCCAGCATTTGCCATAGCAACAAGTCCTCTGCGATTAAATCGCAATCGTGAGTGGAACTCATCCTGCCAAAGAAGAAAGACAAAGGAACATGATTTAGATACATAGCTTCCTTTTCTTCCATTTCTTTAGCCAATTCAATTTACACTAATACACACACAAGCTGTTTTTTCTGACAGTAATAAAACCAGTCATTCATAACTTAATGCCAAGATGATATTTAATAGCTGCTGTTCCCAACATAATTTATTAAGAAACACACTAAATTAAAATTAAAAGCACTAAACATACTATATAAATAGTACAAACATATATATAATTTAAGAAAAACTGTACTTTCTGTTTGTAAAGATTGCTTTTTCCAAATATTGCCTAATTAATGTTATTGAGTACTTTTGTTAGAATTCTCTCTCCCCTTTCCACCTTCCCAATAAAAGAAAAAAGACCTCTTGACTGCACCATATACACTTCTTGTAAATCTATCGTTCTGGTTAACTATGACATTTAGGGACAAATTTTAATTAGGGTAAAATAACTGGAAGCTCAGTAACAGCCTGCAATAGTTCAATATTGAACAAATAACACAGTCCCAAAAAATCCCAGAGACAGAACAGGACTGTTTTTAAGGGAATGAGAACTGACGAGCAATAAATTAATAGCATGGTAGTACCACAATTCTGAACACTGCTACTCCGAATTATATCACTAATTTCAATCAGTAGTGCTACTACAGTATTAAGAATACTTGTTTTGCACTCTGCTTAGGTATCAAACCCTTCCACAAACATCAAGACGTATCACAAGCATGATTATGAGCCTACTCCATGAGTAGGGAAGAGGGGAGGCCCCAAGACAGACTATGGGGAGAAACTAAAGCTCTTTCCCATATCATCTGAAACAAAACAAGCAGAACACAATACACAGCGCACATGTCTTCCCTTGTGATCTGGGGCTCCTGGCCAAGCAATAAGCTGTGCTAGTATCAATAATTCAAATGAATGTGTATTCAACATTCAGGGTCCTTTGCTAACTGAGATATAAATCTATGTAAATAATGTACATTTCTGAGCCTGTCACGTATAAGCATTTACTCTTAATTCTTCCTTCTTCCTTGTGCAGATCACACTACTATTCATGTTAATAAGGTTATATATTCATATTGCTTGCTCATCATGTTGTGATTTTCCTCAATAGCTAGATTTAAGAACTCTGAATATAAAATGCATGTGTAAGAATACTGAGGCAATATGTCAAAGGCATTTGTGTATACAACTAATGTTACATTTCTTATATAAGTTTTTGCAACCTTATTTACTGGAAGATCAACTCATGGGGAATAACCAAAAATTAACACACAAATTAAGGTAACTACCTTGAAAGGAGCTCCATACACTGAATCTCCACCTGATCCAGTACCAGTGGGATCACCTCCTTGCACTATAAAACCAGGCACAACTCTGTGGAATATTGTGTTATTGTAGTACTCTGAAAGAAGAGGAAAAAAAAAAAAAAAAAAGAGAGAGAGCGAGAAAGAAAAAGAGATTAGATACATTTAAATGGTCTCAAATTTATACTTCCACACAGATTAGGCAAAGATATCCCGTGACTGGAGATCCAGAAAACAGGTACTGTAACTGGGTTCTGCCCCTTCCACTGTGTTCCCTCCTCTTCTTCCCTTCCACTGTGGTTTGGTGTGACTGTAGGTCATCTATAAGCTATGACATTTCTGACAAAACCTGTGGTGTGTCCTATGTATCTGCTGCAAAAGGTGCTGTACATCGCTGATAAGAGAATACAGATGAGTTTCTTTCCAGTTATCCAGTATTATCACTAGAAAGATAGTTCCCATATTCACCAATTTAAAAGAAGGACTAAACCTCCCACACTTTGTCCCAGCTAACATCTTGCACATGTATAGTGATCCACACCCATATGCCAAGCTGCTGGCCTGTTCACAGCCCAGCATGGGACACAGGTGCCATCACTTTCACCTGATTGTGCCCAACGGGGTCATTTTCACAGAAGAGAAGATGCTGTGCAGCTACCTCCTCTCGGGTCTGCACACACCACTAAGATCTTAAGGGAAACAAGAAGACCTAAAATTTAATCCTAGTTGACAAATGTTTTCCCCCCCCCCTTTTTTTTAAAAAAAAATTATTGAGGAATATTCTTTTTCTGGATACTATTCAGGATTTTCTACATACAAACACCACCATTTAACATGAAAGCATAACCACAACCTCTATTTTATAAGAAGAGGCCCAAAGATACCAATATTGTATACAAAGCACTTCCAGCAACTCTTGTCCCCTTTGGCCGTTACCTTCCATGCAAAGCTGAATGAAATTTCGACATGCTTTCGGGGCTTCCTTAGACCACAGCTCTATATCAATATCTCCCGCTGTTGTTCGCAGCAAAACCTACGCGAACAGAGACGAATAGGTCGTTAGTTTTCTTGCAGCTGCCTCGCAGACAGCCCTGAGC